TGTTTGGTACGGTAACACCTCCACCCACACCCCCCCCAACCCAACCCACACATACCCCACGCGCCGCCCGTAGATCGACACGGGAAGAGGCGTAAACGATCGACAACATTGGTTACAGATCCCAACGGCCTGTGTTGCTTCTGTCGTTCTCGTTTCTACTTCCTGTTTCGAACAGCTTGTTTGTTGTTCGTCCGCTACAAGACAAGTCGGGATCGCATTATGCGGCTGTACGCTTTTGGTGTGAAACACGAGGGTGCTCGCCCTGGGACTAGCGCGGGGAGCACTGGGTGTATTTTGCAGGCACAGAGCATCAGAGTGCTTTGGGCGGGTTGGTGCGACGCTGTGGTCGCTTGCAGCAACCCAGTCGATTGTGGAAATAGAGATGGAGAGGGGAATAAGAATGGTGGTAGTGGTGATGGTGTTGGGGAACCACACGTTCGGTACATGGGCACAGGCCTCACGGCTGCTCAGAAAGAATACTTGACCAGCGACAGCGATCTGAAACGAGCGCTTCCTATCGGTCCAAATCGCGATAATGGAAGCGAGATCATCTTCTTCGGTAGCACGATGCACGATGGATTGAGGGGGTATGTGTTGACTGACAAGAGTGGGGAGGACATCGACCGGAAAGCAGCGGATCAGAAGGTCGTCATGTTTGGTACCGATGTTGAGATCGAGGATACTGGCGTACCAGACATACAAACTTTCACCATAAGCGATCAGGTTGAGATCGTGAGGGACGTGAAGATCGGGAGTGAGGGGCATGTGCTGGTTTACGTTGAGCAACGTTCCGCGGCTGTGGAGTCGGTGGTGCGGGTCAAAGACTTCGCGGCTTTCCGGCGTTATCTTGAGGCCGGTGAGATGGGTGAGGGGACCGGAGTAACGGTCCTTCCTTACGAACTTGGCGAATTCCCGCTGTGCGTTGGAAATGCTACGACGATGACTGCGCTAGACGCCGATGGGCACGTTTGGACGGAGACAAGGGATCCGAGGTATGAGAAGTGCTTGGGCCGACCGTACGATGGTGCTTTAGACATTGCGCCCGTGCCTTACCTTGAGGTCACCTACGTCAACAAGGTGGCATCGGGCGGGTACATGAGCGCGGCCTTCGACTCGGACGGCGAACTCTTCTTATGGGGTCAGGCATGTCCTGGGTCAAATGAAGAATTGAACGTGCTGAATGGCAATCCTGAAACGAGCGCACTGGTAACAGGCATCAGTGCTGATGACGTTCAAGATGAGTTCGTCAAGTGCTTGGACGTCCGGATAGATGGTCAGGACGCAAAGGTGTATGAGGTAGCGGTTGGTCATGGCCACATCCTAGTGGCAGCCCAAACGTGTAAGACGGAAGGAAGGGTCAAAAGAGTTTTGTTCGCGGCGGGAGACAACAGCAGGGGCCAGTTGGGTCTAGCAACGGATGCGGACTTCAAGAAGAGATTTGAAGGCGTCACAGCTTTGAGGGACGAGCGAATCATTCAACTGGCGGCGGCTGGATGGTCCACGTACGTCCTAACACTTGAAGAATAACTATCTCATATTGTCGGGCTTCAAACACCCAGAGAAGTACCAAACTAGGTATGCGGGGAGGAAGCAAAGTGCATGCAACAGTGCGCATCTGTAGGAAAACACAACATCAGCCTCAGCTCAGTAAGGAAGGCCACAGCCACGCGGCGACACACCACAATCGTATGACACTATCCTCGTACGCTTCGCAGGTCCCGGCTCAACGTGGAATATCGGGCCCAAAGGGTCAAGCTGCCCATCCACGATATCTATCGGCGGTGGTGGAGGTGGTAACAGATTTGGCGAACCGGGCTGAACAGCGATCTGCGTAGTGACAACAATGGATCCAGCTCTGCTTTGGATGATTGGAGGAACGAGTATAGACTGAGCTGAGACCTGAGAGGCTTTGGATTGAGTCTTGGATTTGCGGGTACTGAGGTGGATGAGCCGGCGTGGCAGAATGCAATCGAACAAAGGACGTAGATGAGGCAGACATGCTACAATGATTCCAGTACTTATCTGGGCGATTGCCCACATCAGAGTGTTGCCCATGCCGTACGTTACGTCGCCTTGGTATGCGACATCGGCCAGTGAGTCGACACGAAAGGCACCGATGAACATGTTGCTACTCACGTTAGCCATGACTGAGAGAGGATGGTCCCTGATCGCACAACAACCCAAATGCGAATATGGCCGACACAGCCACCCTGTGGGAATGGCGCAGCTTCAGATGCCAGACCACATAGTGTGGAAAACACCAGATGACCGCATCTAGGACTACTCCCAGCACCGCTATGGTGACCACGCAGGGCTTCAGTCGGAAGCAGTATCGTGGATCCTCGAAAGGTATTGTGTAGTTTTGCTTGATCGGTCGACAGTGGAGCGCGATTACCATGACAGACGCTAGTCCTAAGGCGATCGCCGCAATGGTACAAAAGTGAGCTGTGGTTTGGATTAATAAACATGTGGATACCGGATGGTGGTGGATGTGTAAGGTTTGACAATACCACCGTATCTCAACCAGCTGTACGTCCTGGTGTATAAGGTCCGAATGAAGAAGATGAGAATCGCGCATCGAGTGAAGGCTGTGCATATGGCTAGGGGTAGCCGGAAGAGCCACAGTATCTGTGAGCGTGAGCGCCCGCCTCACAGCCAGAATGTTATCCACAGCAAGAATGTCATACTATCAGCGTTCGCTTGAGATCCGCCGTGGCAGCTGTCACCATGTGTTGACGGACAAGACCAGCAGCCATCGCTTCGTCGCATTAGCAACGCAGTATGAATCGCAGACGTGAGCAACTCGCAAACAATAAACATTGCCATCACCACGTAGAGAAGGAGCTACCCGACGTGGTTAGAGAGTGCCTTCTGTAAAGGGGTCAGGCCATACCAGGGCCAACACCAAAAACGTATCATCAATAGTCCATGGCAGTAGTCGCGTGCGCTTTGAGTAGAAGCGCGCCAGGATAAAAAGCAGAGGTAGCACCGAGAGAATGACAAGGCCCGCGATATAATTGCCGAATAGCATGGGTTGGTCGGATCGAGCCGACTCTAGGAAAAAGGACCGGCGGGGTGTGGTGATGGTGCCCTAGGATGCGGTCGAACGCATTACGTGAGATGGGGTGAGGATGCAAAGTTAGATGGGCGGGTAGGTGTCGCAGTAGATGGTGAGGTGGTGAGAGGTGGTGGGTGATCGAAGATGGGATTGTCGCACAATGGCATACCTCCTGCGGGGCTACTGCCGTCGAGGGTGGTGAAACAACTGAAGACACAGACATGCAGGAAGGTGCCAGCGAGAAAGTGAAGCAATCCGGGAAGGCGCCGCCGTTGGGCAGGCAGCCCTCTGTGGTAGCGACGGCGGCGAGGCTCGGACGGTGGCCCGGGGCGTCGTGGTTTCGCATGTCAGAGGAGTTGTTCGGGCAAATCCAGCGCACCGTGCTGATCAGGCAGCTGCCTGCGCACAACTCATGAGCGCGGTGATGATGTCAATCGTGAAAAAAAAGATGCGGTGTTGATGCCCGGGCGACCAAAGCTGCATGCGGAAACAGCCCGACATGGGCAGGAAGCGGCGCTTGGACGGGGGTAAGATGAGCACCAGGGCGCAGCCGAAGCCTTACAAGGCGACGAGAAAAGCAAATGAGGGGTGACTTGAGAGTTCACGAGGCTACCAGTGAGTCGCAGAGTGCGGTACAAAGTAAATTGTCGGTGCGACAGTTTCAGTCTGACAGCTGAGGCTATCGGAGGGACGCCGCCAGTGATTACAGTATAGCGCCAGTGATTGCGGTATTGCAGCCACAGTCGGACCTATCGAATCCCACACGGCACCGGATATCCGACCAAATGGCATCGGCACGGAGGGTATGACTCTTCAGGACCCTGGAAATCCAACTCTATCGCGGGTTTCGTGATGCGAACGCGTTGCTCAGCCTCGGACCAGTGTCGCGTCTGCTCGAGTCGGGCCGGTTATTCTTTTTTCGGCGTACCTGCTCTAGCACGGCGCACATTCACCCACCTCGGACAATTACGAGAGCGCCCGTGTATGCGGCGCAGGTGAGGTGTAATTCCTACATCACGACGACGCGAGGGTACGTGAACCGCCGTTTACATGTACAGCAGAGTTTCGCTTGCGCGGCCAGTGCTGATCGATCGCACTTTTATCTTAGCTGCGGCCAGTCAGAGACAGATCGTCGGGCCAAACGCATCAGTGGCAGGGCTGATCAGGCCTTGGAGAAACAGCACAGCGAGGGAAAAAAGCAAGGGTAGCGTCGATCATGATCACCACGACCTCACGCAACAGGCCTCGTTTGATGTGGGTACGATGGTTCACGCAGGCTGTCGCGGCACGTCTGCGCAGGCCCTCCACCACCGCTGACAGGCTGCGAGCTTTCTCACCATCAGGCGCTCCAACGCGAACCCTCCATGGCAAAACGGAGATTCCGGTGCTTTGCCACGACGGTAGCAGACGGCGCATGACAGGCCGCACGCCCTCTCGGCCCCCATTGGGCAGCGCTGCGAAACGCCAGCGGGATCCGGCAGATGGGTGCACGCCATCCAGGGGTGCAGCATAGTTCATCCTGAGTGTGCGCTTTTCCAAGGCCGTGCAAGACCCACCCATGTCGCTGGTCGAGGGCTGTAAACGTCATGTGCCCGTACGCCTGCCTGCCAACTCGTACTTTTCGGCTTGGGCCCATAGGAGAGCATTTTCTTGTCGGGCTAGGGCTGCCTGGGGCCTGGGAAGCGAGATGGGCCACTAATGCCATCCTGACCTGATCCGTCGACCGTTTTTCTGGCTTCAAAGTAGCCTTGCCATCCGTTTTACACGCGGCAACTCTCTTTTCCTTTTGCTCCGTGGACCAGCACTGTCACAACACCCCCTGGACGTCTGCCCTCAACCTGCACTGTGTATTTAGGACTCCTCGCTCCCAGCATCGACTCACTCCGCGGCTCTGCGGCCATGAACTAGCACCTCTCCCGCTCTATCCGGACTAATATACACCATGGACTCCCACCACTCTTCGCCATCCCCTCGCAGGGCGAGCCCCCGACACAGCATGCAGAGACAAAGAAGTAACTCGTTTCCCATTGTTGAGGCTCTGGGTTGCTCAACCCCAGAAGCACTCCTTATTCTTGCTGAGGGCAGAGCCGCCGTCCGGAAACGCCGAGCTCGACGCAACCAGTCCGTCGACGACGAAGTCAACCGTCTCTTCAACCCCCAGGACCACCTCAAGTTTCTCGAAGGCCTCGCCGCACTACCCACCCCTCAAGATCAACCATCTCCCTTTGACGCAAAATGGTCTCACTCTCGCATGCCATCCGATGCCACGGATAACAGCACTTCAACCGTGGTCGCACATGTAAACGATGGCGAACCTCGGAATATGTCACCCACGCTAGGCGACTATTCCGCTAACCTTGCCGCTTTCATCAAGAACCAACTCAAGTCAATACCGACGTACCAATCCAACCATCGCCCTACCTCATCCCTCTCTCCCCGATCGTGTCCGGATCTATCGTTTCCTCGAGTGCCATCGTCGCCAAACCCAAATGCACGCCGCCAGACGGATGGACCCAAGGCCATCGAGATACCCCCAGTGCGACCGCCGATGAAGAGTCAATTCTCGGCCTGGAGCTCCACCGACGACGACACGGATGACGAGGCGCTTCCCCTCCCGGAGTATACCTTTTCCAGTGAACAAGGCCCCAACTCCAAGGGAAGCAACTTCACGCCGTCCATCCTAGGCTACTACGAGACCTCGCACCACAATTCGTCGTTTCTATTTTCGTCGACGCCGCTAGAGGAAGAGTCAGAGCCCACTACGGCTAAAGCCTTCAAGTTTCCTGACCCGTCAGCACTACCACGTTCCTCACCTGAGGAAGAACACGATGATGACGAGGACATCGCCGACTACCCCTCCTCGTCTTGCCCCTCGCAACCTCAGCTCACCTCGACGTCAGCACCTTCGTATACGTCGTCTTCGGTGTCGTCGTCGTCGTACTTTGACTGCAAGCGCCTGGCCATCACCCCGCAGATGAAGCAGGCTGTCATCGCGGCAGTCACACCACCACACCCACACAACAAGAGGCTTACTGCTGTATCGCCTTGGGAGGGCAACGCCTTCTCCAACGTGCACGACGTGTACGTTGAGTCACAGCAGCGCGTCAACGTCGACGGCATGTCCTTTGACATGCTCCGCGACCTGAACGTCTCTAGCAGGCTCACACCTTGCTGATACCATCACACCATCACTACAACTCTTTTTCCTATCTCCCTGTCTTACTAGCGTGCGCGTTCGGGGGTGTTGTTGTTGTTGTTGCCCAAAAGCTGTGGTTCAGCCGGTCTAACCACACCCAACGGCCTCTTCCTTTTTTACCTTGCTTCTTCCCTGTCTTTTGCACGCAAAATATCCCTCTTGTAATCCGGTTGTCTCTCGGGCGTTTCACACAAGCATTTCATCACAGACTGCTAAGCTTTTTTCCTTTGTTTGCACAAGTGGGGTGTTTCGGCTTCTATCTCTCGATTTAGCACATTCGGCGCTCTTGCTTCTTTTTCTTCTTCTTCTTTACATGAACTTATCTTTTTTTCTCTTGTGGGGCGTACTTCTAGCACATCACGAGTGTATACGCGACACACGAATTGCATTCATTCTTTAATCTAAGGGGATGGACGGGAGGTTCTGGAGAGATTGTTGCGTTCCAGAGGAGTTGAGCAGGCAGGAGCAGAATGCAAGTATGACAGACTGGCAGGTGGCAGTGGATTTCGGCATAGGGTAGCTTGAGAAGGAAACAGAAGAACACATAGCATACATTTGCAACACAACAATACACACACTCGGTAGCAATACAAACACACACTTGCGCATCTACTCTATGCTTTTTCTTCATTACTACTACTGCGTCTATTACGGTCCTTACTGACCTTAGGATTTGAGTATGCAGGCTACATGCTTTTCTCCGCACCTTTATGCTAATATTAACCACCGAAAGCTGCCATACCGAGTACCCGGGTCAGGCCAAAAGACATCTGGGGTCGGGCCAAAAAAGGTATGCTGGATCATGAGACACGGCAGTCGTCGCACGGATGTTTGAATAGATTTCAAGCGGTGAAGGAAGGGGGAACATGCATGGGGGTTGGTGGGGAGGCGGAGGCGGTGGAATTCTCTAGGTCTGGTAGCTTCCAAGACGACAGCTTCCAGATGTCTAAGACGAGGTGATCTTCCTTCTTCCACGCTCGAGCGCGGAAGACAGAGAAGGAAGGGGGGCAACATGCAAGGTCCCGCTCGTGCAGGCCGAGATCTAGATCTATCGACGGGCGCTGGTCTGGGTCTGGGCCGTCGCTGGTCTGGCCATGCACGAACGCCGATCAGGGTGTTTGGCTGGACGCGATGCGGCGACGTCATGTTTGATTGGTTTGCATGCTGAATTTGTTTGCGTAGGAACGCGACTGTGCCGCTTTGCAGGACACTTTACGCGTCGCTGTCTGCATGCGCGACGAGATAGGCTGTGTGGAGGAATGTGGGATACTTTCGCGATGTTTCTACCTTCATTGACGTCTGAGGTCTTTGTGGTTGGGTGCACATAGGCCACGTTAACGGTTATCGAGCTCTGTAACCTTGGGTTCATCAGCAGCCTCCCCACCACCATCCACTCTCACTCTCCCACATCACTCTATAAATCCCCGCCAGCCACGTCCACCTGCGCGTAACACACACCCACACGTCCGCCCACCATGGCAGACACAGAGCCCAGCCTTGTCGCCAGCGCCCTCGGCACCGCCGCCTACGCCTTCACAAAGGTCCAACCGCTCCTCCCCGTCTACGCCCACATGATCCTCGCCTCCCTCTTCCCCATCTACGCCGCCGCCCACGCCTCGCTCACCCGCCCCTCTACCGCCGCCAAACCCCCTAAAAAGAGCCGGAAAGACCGCGCACGCGCCGCCGCCGAAGATGAAGACAGCGACTCTGAAGACGAGGAGGAGGAGGAGCCGGAGAACGAGATGGAAGGGCTCTCGCCGAGACATATCATCTTGTTCCCGCTTTTCGCAGGGATTTCGCTGGCGACGCTGTATTTCTTGCTGAAGTGGCTCAAGGATCCGAGTATACTGAGTAAAGCGCTCAATGCGTATTTTGCTGTTTTTGGGTTCTTCGCTGTGACGAAGTTGGTTAGTGATGTGCTGGATATTGGGCATTCGATTATATTCCCAAGGAGACATGTGCTCGGGGGCGCGCTATACCATGTCGATGGCAAGGCAGGGAGGGCGGTGCCTGTCGCAGGCAACACCAAGGCCAGCGGGCCCATTACAAGCCCGCTCCCCGGCTTCCTCACACGCATACCACTTTCTGATGGGGCGAAAGAATGGCTCTGGGCGGACCGCGCGATGCCCTCCAATAAGTGGACGCTGAAGCTGTATCTTGAGCGCGCGCTGGCGGGCAAAGCTAGAGTAGGCGCGCACACGCTTGTTGGTGCTGTGGTAGCGCTGGCTACACTCGTCTACTTCAACCTGGTTGACAAGACGTGGTACCTGACCAACCTGCTTGGATTCAGCTTCGCATATGGCAGTATCCAGGTCATCAGTCCGACGACGTTTGCGACAGGAAGTGCGATACTCGTGGGGTTGTTCTTCTACGACATCTACATGGTGTTTTTCACGTACGTACTTCTCCTTCACCCATATGCACAGAACACTACTAACACCACTTCTTCTAGTCCTCTCATGGTAACAGTAGCATCCTCCCTCGACGTCCCCATCAAACTCATGTTCCCCAAACCCGGCACCGCCACCACGCCCTCGGGCAAGAACGCCGCTGCCATGCTCGGTCTAGGCGATATCATCATCCCTGGACTCATGATAGGCCTTGCACTGCGCTTCGATCTCTACCTCTTCTACCTCCGCCGCCATAAACGCGTTCCCGCAACAACTGAAGGAGCCGAGGACACGGTTGTAAAGGCGGAGTTTACACCCCTGGCAGGCCGCTGGAGCGACCATTTCTGGACGCATTCACTCATGGGACGCCCGCTGTGGGAGTCTGCTGCACCCTCAGAGAACGTAAAGGAAGAAGCGCCGTTCACGTTCCCGAAAACTTATTTCAATGCCTCGCTAGTGGGCTATGTAGGCGGTCTGGTCGCCACGTTCGCAGCGCTGCATCTCATGAACCACGCGCAACCTGCTCTTCTCTGGCTCGTTCCAGGCGTGCTGCTCAGTCTCTGGGCGACTGCGCTTGTAAGGGGTGAACTCGCGCTGATGTGGCACTACAGCGAGGAGATTGTGGAAGAAGCGACGGAGGCGGGTAAGGAAGCGACGAAGAGGACGGGGCAGCTGTTCAAGGAGGAGGATGTCAATGCTGTTAGAAAACCGGCGACGGGGAAGTCGAGGAGGCCCGAGAGAGAGGTTTTTTCCTTTTCTATTGAGGGGCCGAGGAAGGTTGGGCCGACGGCTGGGGAAAAAGAGGATGGGAAGAGTGAGGGTGGTGTGGAGAGGGAGGGGAATGGCACGACTGTTCCCACGACTGTGAAGAGTCAGGTTTGGACTGGTTCTGAAGCGCATAGTTCGGCGAGGGAAGAGGGCGGTGTTGAACCTGCTGGGAAGCGGCTTAGGGTCAGGTAGGCGAAGATGGGATATGCGAGAAAGAGGGATGAGAAAAGAGAAGGTCACGTTTGATGATTCAGTCGGTGTTGCGAGCAACGGTGCATGGGACTTTTTAGGTACCCGAATTGTAAAGATTCGGGTACCTAAAAAGTCCCATGCACCGTTGCTCGCAACACCATCTCGATTCATTCAGAAACACGTCTGATGATACATCTTATGCATAGCGATGGAGTTTGGGAAAGCTGGCATATCTAGTCCTACAAGACAACTTTTACATGCTGCTCACGTTGGGTCTTTCACGCAACACGACATTGTCTCTTCATCAATCCTCCCATCTACAACAGCCTGCCATCCTTTTACCCACACTCCAACAATTTTTCGTCTTTCTCGTCATTCTCCCTTGGTATTCATGCCTTGGTATTCATCCATTCATCTCCCCGACCGCAAACAGTCCCTCCGTCTTATAAGTACCAAATGTTACTTCCCACACCCCCCGCATTTCTCCCCACTACCACCTTCCCCGCGGTTGATATGTGAGCAATGAGGACATAGCCACTCGGACATGTGCGGCATGCTGGAATTTCGATGGGATAGATTTGATTTGGGAGACGGGTATGTTGTGAGGGGCTGAACAATGCTTTTAAGGCGGACGATGGAATCGGTTTTTGAAGTCTTGCGGGAAGTTCGGGGGGTTTTGGTCATGCTAGAGTTGGATGGGTGAATTGTTGGTTTAGAGGGTAGGTAGTAGTGCAGGTGAGGAAAGTAGAAACGATGTGTTTGCGAGGAGATACGTTAAGAGGGAATATGTGAAGTGGCGGCACATTGTTTGCTATAGATGGAAGCTTGATTGTGAGTGTGGCACATTGTACATATCGTCACTGCGCCACAAATCAGGGAAGCGGGAATGTGATATGGAAGAATCGGCATGCCCAGAGCATGCTTCAACACCAAACCAGAACACCTCGACCACATACCAAGACACCCCCTCTAGCAACCCACAACCTCTTCAGCCTCCACATTCACACCCGCCTTCCCCATCCCCCCCATCTCCCCCTTCAACCCCAACAAGAACCCCGTCGAAACATCCACCGCCGAGCTCTCCCTGCCAAAACATATTACCGCGATTTCCACCTCCTTAACCGCACACAGCACCGCCTGATCCAACCTCCCATGCCTCCTCCACCCCACCGCCGCATCATGCCACGCAAGCCCCAACGCCTCCCCCACCAACCCCTCCTCTTTCAGCAACCTGCACAACTCCAGCGCGGCCTTCGGCACAGGCCGTCTCCACAGCTGGCGCCGCCCCGTCCGGATCCGCGCGTCCAGCACCACCATGCGCGCGCGCCGGGTATCGCTACCGGGCGTGGGGTCGCTGCACGCCGGACAGGCGCAGGTAAATCCGTAGGAAGATAGTTTTGCGCGCCGCGAGAGGGTGGTTTGGTAGGGTCGCTCATAGCTTAGTTTGATTTGCGTGTCTGAAGGGATGGCCACGATGGCGTGGATTGTGATTTTCCCAGTGAGCGGGTTGAATGCGAAGGATGCGTTGGGGATGCAGCTGTGGTTGAAGCGCGCGGCGAGGGGGCAGATGGATGTTTGGCTCCCGGTTTGCCAGGCGTTGGAGTTGAAGATGTCGATTACTCTTGCCTCTTCTTCTTCTTCTCCATTCTCTTTCAATTTGTAGGTTTTCTGCGCGTACAGCGATAGATACTGGGTTTTTTGCGAGGAGTCCAATGAAGCAAAAGCTGCGATCACGGCGCTGTTGCTGCGCGGTTCTGCGACGCTGAATAAGGGTGTTTCGCTAAGGATGAGCGTACCCGGCAGGATGGTCGTGGAAGCGAAACAGCCTAGTCCTTCGCCGGGTGAGGCGCGGACGGTGTATACGCTGTCCATATCGCGATTTTCGTAGAGATGGTTGTGGCGCTACTACTGGCTGTTTCTCAATCTTTGGTCCGCGGTGAGAATTTCGATTGTAAGTGTATAGTTGCTGCGATAGTACAGCTTGGTGTTAGGAGATACATTGTGTCCGATATGTGCGCGTACGATCCTGTGGCGGCTGTTGTGGAAGTATATGGTAATCGGAGGCAACAGTGTTTTGCAGCTTTGTCACCTTCGTGTTCGGCCGTGCCTGTCGAGATGGATGCGATCTAGCGTGGTGACGTCATAGGTACGGCTACTTTCTTCTCCTGCGCCTGGGATAAGTCATCATGTGGCGTCTTCATCGCGAAGACTGAGGTATCTCGACCGTGTTCACATTGGATTGCGCGTAAGTCTTGATAAAGTGTCAGCATACGCGCCCAACACGGGACGCGTCGTCAGGCCATTGCGGGCCCGCTGCTCCCTTCCGTATACTGCCGTCGTTCCTCCCTGGTTGTCACAGCGGGGCTTCAAGTTCGCAACGACGAGTCATTTCTTTTGTCGCTTCCTCAAACCGCGTCCGGTCTCTCTTCCGTCACTTCAATCCGTCCTCTCTCTTTTCCTTTCTCGTTCTCATTACACTCTCTTCGCATTGACTACTCCATCCCGCGGCGCCATGTCGGACTTCCAGGATCCCATCGACAATCGCGTCAAACGCGAGCCGAGCGACGAACCACAGAGACGCGTCGACAGCTACCCACAGACCTACCACGGTTATGATAGCTATCACAGTAGACGTGAGCCCAGCCGTGAGCAGCAGGAACGTCCTCGCAACCGCTGGGGCGACGACATCAAACGCGAAACAAGCCGGGAGCGAGACGACCGTCCACGCAACCGCTGGGAAGATGAACGCAGACGCGAGCTTAGTCGTGACCGACATGATCAATCACGCGACCGCCGGGTCGATGATCGCAGGCGCGAGCGCAGCCGTAACCGACGTGACCGGTCGGGCGACCGCCGGAACGATGATCGCAGGCGCGACCGCAGCCGTGATCGCGATGACCGTTCACGCAACCGTCTGGATGGTGATGATAGACGCGATTCGAGGCGCGGATCTGATGATCGTTCACGCAATCGCTCAAGAGATAGCTTCAAACGTGAGCCAAGCTATGAGTGGGAGCATCGTCCACGCAGTCCTGGGGGTGATCGAGACGATGGACCAATACGCGGTCGCGACGACAGCAGAGACCGTGAATGCAGCCCTTTGACTGATGACGACGAGCATGCCGACCGGCAGGACAGCGCGAGGAGCATCAGACGCGACTTGACCAAGAACTACACCAAAGAGAACGACCCGTACTGGTACCCGGGCAAGGTATAGATCAGAGAGACAAGTTTCATAACATGCCGCATGCCTAACCAACACAAGGGAAAATACTCGCATCCCACCAAGATGCCCTCGCAGAACCCGCACGACCCCAAACCACGAAACCCGAAGCGCACCCAGAGCTGTCGCACGGAATCGTCCGGACACCGTCACCAACGTTTTGAGCGGAAGCATGAGCGTCGAGAGGACGAGAAGGAACGTCTGCTTAGGGGAGACCTTGGAAGTAAGGCGTCCACTTGCTGCCTTGTTCTATATCTGTACGCTTCATTGGCTAACCGTACTGCCCTTCTACAGCCCCGCCTCCCGACGCCGGTCCCAACTGGGCGAAGAACCGTATTGCGACTTTGGAGAAGTACGCGAAGAGGACGAAGAAGAGGCACAAGAAGCATGAGAAGCGTATGCGCAAGGCGGCGGAGCAGGGTTAGGCTTGAGGATAGAGCAAGGTGTGCGGAGATCAGTGGAGATCAGAGCGGAATGTTGAGCGCGTAGGGAGGGTTCGCTCAGATGATGGCTATGCTGAATTAGCACCGACATGTGTTATCTTGATATACTTTGATCGTAGCTATAGCAGACGTTTCGGATACACAGAATGATGCGAATGCATTCATATCAAATCAAACAAGCCGTTTATCTCTTCATGTCCCTGAGTGATGCTATGAATGTTAACAGCGAGGGATGGGAGACATCCTGCCCTAGAAGCCTAGAAGAAGTCGATGTTTCTCCCTCCGTCTTTTAAAGCAAATGATCTACTCGTGCCTTCGCCAACATCAGCCGATCACAGACTCATCATCCATTCGTCGAGATACTTATCGTCCTCCATCTTCCGCAGCAACTCCTCGTATCTCTTGCCTTCCCTAACACCCTCATCCAAACTCCACGGCAGCTTATCGCACTGCTCAACATCCTCATAAAACGTCGCGCCGAACTCTTCCAACATCTTACATCGCTCCTCCATGGTTCTGCAATACGCCAAGTCCACCCAGTCTTCGGGCTTTCGGGGCGGATCGTATTCTTCCAACCATGATTGCGAGTTCTCGGCCCATACTGCTAGGACCCAGATGCCTGAACCAGTAGGCGTGTAGGCAACATGCAGGTCGGATGGGAAGTGGTCGCCGTAGGGATATACTTCGTCTCTTGTGTGGCGTTCGTAGAACTTGAGGGATGGCCACCAGCGCGCGCCTAGGTGGAGCATACGTAGTGCGAACGCGTCTTCTTGCTCTTGGTCGGGGAATGGTCCTGGGTCTGACATCTTGCGCGAGACGCCAAGGTGCTCGAGCTCGGGGTTTGTAAAGCGCTTCATGATGATGCCGCCGTGTGATGGGTATGAATAGACTGTACATCCAGTCGTCGAACAGGAAGTCATTCGGACGCGTGTTCCTGGTGAGGTTGACATATTCGAACAGGCGGAGGCTTGTTTCTAGAGAGAATCTGGATGTGTTGATACCCAGGTAGGTATTCAGCAAAGTGCAGCTGAGGATCAGGCAACGGTCCTGAGGGTGCTGACGCCGCAATTGCTACGCCGCACGCTCGCAGCCATGGCATTTTGATGCGAAACAACTGAGTCAAGGTTACCGTAGACGCCGACAAGAACCTCAGAGTTCAGAGAGTACAGGTCACATCCTAAGTCGACGTATACGTTGCTCTCTATACGTTTCCGTTATTGGCGTACAACAACGATGTATGCAGTAATGCAACTCAGACTCTCATCATCCTCTGCTGCATTCTGAGACGTCTTTCTCATCGTGATCTCAAAAGTCCTGTTGTTGATGGCGTTGCAACGATGTCGCAGTCCGGCCAATTGTGCGGCTGGCTCGTAATGCCGAGGCGCAGCCGAACCCAATGGCGCAATGTCCACGGGTCTTTCCGATCGGGCCTTCCTCCTTTCTATCTCGAACTACCCAGCTATCCTTCAACACCATCCATCACACCTTCTCAACTCAAGCATTTCGCCGCGAACAAGCTTTCGCAAGCTAACTTGGCAGATTGATGACTTACTACTCTTCAGGTGTGCACGCCGGGCATCACCTATCACGAACTTCCTATCCCGTCCTAGCACCACCACACCAATCCTTGCCAAGTCACACGCCAACTGATAAGCAACGACAAGCTTCTGCTGCAGTTAATCTATCCTGCATATCTGCGCTATGGGAGCTTTCCGTCGTTGCATAGGCCCTTTGCACATTCGCATTTGAGAATGTCGATGTTCTTGAGAGCCGAGGTACAGCGAGAAATGCCATCGCACAGTAAAGGTGACGGAAATCATGACGAACGCAGGGAGATTAGATCTACTACGTTACGAAGAGCATGCGGCACCTTCAAAGATCGAGCAATACGGTCAAGCACCGCATCTCCCACCACCTCTTTCGCTTTCGCTGTCGAATTTGCAAGAGAGCGTTCGGGCGTTATCCCAAAGAGGCAGGAGAACCTGACGATGCAAGCACGACAACCACGAAGTCGGACACTTTCGCGCACATGTGGTCGAAGTGACAGTGATGTGATAGGCGGATTTCGTCCCATACACCAGGAAAATCACTTATCAGGGTCTTCTGATACCTACCGAGTCAACACACGAGCGGGACTGTCCACTCATACCCCTGTCCAGTCCGGTAATTCGCCGATCTTTTTGGTGAAGAGGCCTTCACCAAACGACCTGGGCTTCCAATCAGTAATTCGTATCTCGGCGTTCGACCTGATGGATCTTGTAGGCCGCTTTCCAGTTCAGCATGGAGGGCGAATCTAGCTGGATGGCTATGCGCCTGACCAGTAGGTATTAGGAAGGTATCATCAAATGTTGGATCTGGGCCATCGCGCCATCGTATAATGAGTGTGCCTAGAGGTATACGACACATAGTACGGGTTCGACTTGGGAAGTATATAAGGAGTGTCGAAGGCCGCTGGTTACACTTCACTCATCAACGCAGCATTCGCTTCAGCAGTCTATCGTTCTACTCTCGATCCCTTCTCTCGCTTCGACTACCTTCTTAGTCCCGTAAAATCACTCTACCCTTCATCATGAAGCTTTCCATCGCTATCATCGCCGCCATCACTGGCTCCGTTCTGGCCCGTCCCTCCTCCCTCGCTGAGCGCGTTCAATCTCGTGCTGATGGCAGTCGCCGTCACAGGACCCAGCCCATGATTCTAGTCGGCACAGCCGCGAAAGAGAACGCCAAGTTCGTCGCAGACGTCGACAACACCACCGCCCACGTCGACTACTCCTCCAACTGGTCCGGTGCCGTTCTCGAGACCCCCTCCTCCGGCTACTTCAAGTCAGCCACCGGACGCTTCACCGTACCCACACCCAAGCACGTTGGCTCTGGTGGCACCGAGTCTTCCTCAGCTTGGGTCGGTATTGACGGCGACACCTGCGGCAGCGGTCTGCTCCAAGCAGGTATCGACTTTACCGTCAGCAGCTCCGGCGCCGTTTCCTACGACGCCTGGTACGAGTGGTACCCCGACTACGCCTACGACTTCAGCAACTTCGCCGTCAAGGCCGGCAACGTCATCCAAGTCGACATTGTCGCTACCTCCACCACCAAGGGCACGGTCTCACTCACCAACGTGAGCACCGGAAAGAAGGTCAGCCAGACACTTAGCGCACCTAGTGGCTCCGTCCTGTGCCGTCAGAACGCAGAGTGGATTGTAGAGGACTTTGAGTCCGGAGGTAGCTTGGTTGCGCTGAGCAACTTTGGTACTGTTGTCTTCACCCAGGCGAGTGCTAGTTTGAGCACGGGTGGAACGGATGGGTTGAGCGGTGCTACTATTATCGATCTTAAGCAGGGTAGCACTGTTTACACTGATGTTACTATCAACAGCGGCTCGCAGGTTACTGTTCAGTACATTTAGGTTGTGGATGGTGGGAGAGGAAGTCGTGGTCTGAAGGCTGCGATGGGGTCTACAAGATGCATGGATGAGACTACATTGGGTAGAAGGTTAGTTTCTTAAGTTTCCAAGAGATCTTGACGTGTCTACATCAATGTTAGATCTTTATAGAAGTGTGTAGTCTACTATAATGTATGCTGCAATCCAGTATTAGAAAATATCATCCATTTGTGGGATAATCATGTCGTCATTATAGTACACTCAACCGCGACCATCTATCTAGTCCTTTCCCAAAGTAACCTTTTCCATCCATCCTGCTAAGAAATCCTCTTCGACACTCTGCACAATGCTCAATGCCTTCTCTGGCGCAATCCAAGACTTCCTACCTTCATCAGGTAGAACCTGCTCCACAACGCCCCACTCAATGTCGACCAGAAGATCACTAGCGGGGCTCTGATCTAGTCGAACCGAAGAAATATCAACAGAAGAGCTCATAGGCGCCTCCTGTTCTGATGGTGTGTTCAATGCCTTGCGCGCCTGCTCTTTCTTCATATGCGCAAACGCCCAGTGTAGTACCAGCATTGGACCTTCCCTCTCGAAAATGTCGCGCGGTACCTGGTTCTCTTTCACCGCTTCAAGGAAGTCTTCTGGTCGTACAGTCCTTAACTCCGAGACCATGCGTTGCAGTTTCCAAACTGCCTGCATCATGTCGCGCCTAGCCCTGTCTGGAAAGTAACACAAGTCAAAGCCGCTGTTCATCCAGATGTGAACGAGAGCTTCTTGGTCGGACTGATCATCGCTTCCAGACGTCTTGGAGAGCCAGGCTCTCATATATGCCTTGATAAAGGCGTTCGCAGCGGTATCGTAGAGGTCGCTGGTGTCCTGACCGAGCGACTCGGCTATCGTGACGAACGCCATGACGATGACATTGTAACGAACGACGTCGATGCGATTGGACAATGTGTGGAACTTGGAGACTTCGTAGTACCAAATTGCACGATTGACGTCGTAAGACTTGGCTGAGTGAGCGCGGTAGTTGCCACGAGCGATATCGTTGTAGTTGCGGAAGAAGAAGTCGAGTTGAAGGTGTCTGGGAATATGTGGGATGTACAACGCCGTCTCGTTGGCATTGTAGACGTCGTCGATAGTGAGCGGTCGGGTGAGTATCGAAGGATGTATCTTGGAGAGCTTCTGTTCGAGGTTCGAGCGCGCCTTTGCATCGAGAGCGGGCAGGCTGTTGGCGCCAGAAAGGCTCAAGCTTGCCATAGTTGATTCCATGAGTAGTCTTAGCGAATAGGTCGTATGCTGTAAGGAGAAGAAACTGTCGAACAGAGAGATATAAAGTATCGGGCTTACGACGTGATCGCGAGTTGACCGCATGTTGAACTGGAAACGCCGCAAAGAATAGCGGGGCTAAGGTGAAAGAGCAAACGGCTTCTCGCAAGTAGCGCACAGTCTCCGCTAATTTAAAGAGCAAACGGCTTCTCGCAAGTAGCGCACAGTCTCCGCTAATTTAAAGAGCAAAAATAACAACTTACTCAGGTTATCTTTCACTTCTGTGCGTGTTGAAGTGACAAGTAGAACTGAAAGGAGAGCAGAACTTCAAGCAGGAATACCTGACACAGGCCATAGAGAGGGCTACATTAAGCAGAGATCAGGCGGATGGACGCGGATGAGTACACTATAATGACCAAATACACTCCCCACATGATGGAAAACAGTGATTAGATACCTTCTGCTACATACATGGTACTAGAGTACGCACATCTAAAAAGCATTCTTATTAATGTAGGCGTCAAGATCCTTTATAAACCTACAAACTAAGATCATTTTGCTACTGTAGTCTGCAGAGTATTCGAGATTTCACTAGGAAAGGAAGAGATCAATGGCTTGTTCAGTCAACATTCGAATGCATTCACATTGTATACTATCCACTCGCCATGAAACCAGACATGTAGACAGCCTGAATGCATCCCATAAGCCCTCCCTTAACGAAAGTCCTCTCCATCATATCCTAATCCCCTTCCCCCTGAACCTCACTTCTTGGTTTCGCCGCTCGGCTGGCCGCCAGCGTTGGCGTTCTTGTCGCCAGCACCCTGGGCGCGAGCCGCAAAGCCGCCGGAGGACATGTCTCCGCCGGACTTGGCCTAGACGAAGAAGGATATGTTAGCAGCGGAAGAAGAGTGTGGTTTGGCGAAACGTGGTGGGAAGGCTTACTTGACCAGACTGGATTCTGCTCGCATCGCCCTGGGTCATCGGGGTAGAGCCCTTGGAGCCACCACCGGTGTTGCCGGAGTTGTTGTTGCCGTTACCAGACATGGTAGATAGTGTGGTGTTGTAAGTTGAAGTGATGGGCTTTGTAAAGATTGCTAGTGCAGGAGTTGTCTCGTTTGATGATTGCGATGAATCTCCTATCTGGAGGCGAGAACGTGCTTTTATATCGTTGTCTTGGGTGGCTTTCTTGATCACTGATGCTGCTGCCGCGGAGCTGATCGTGGGTACATCGGCTAGCGCATGTAGTACAGCAGCAACATCATGCCTCTGGATATTGAAACGAGAATGTAGACGCCAGGGTTGTCTACACCGCTCTTTGCTATGTCGGCGGTTATGCATGCTTTGAAGAGCATGTGAAGTGATGTGCCCGAGAGATCAAGTACGACATCTCCAGCGCTCTTACCCTTTCTTCGTGAGTGCCGAGCGTACCTACCTAGATAGCCTTGCAATATGGCTTGGGAAACTTCCAAACTCTCCTGATTTGTCTCTACTCAATGCTTGAGACTTCATACGAGACATTATAGCCTACAGCATAGCGACGTCTACTGCTTGTAAACATCTCCGATCGACACGCATGCTGTAGCACAACAACCTCGATGACGACAGCTAACGAGAATTGGGCGCGCAAAACTGCATCTTGCCTTCCGAGTCTGTAGTCCCGTCGTCCTCATCGTACGATTCTTGCGCAAAGCGACGCAAAAGGCATTCCGCCGACAGTACTGCGCCCTGATGGATAGGTATCACAGTCATGGGCATAACGATGCAGATCCGCGCAACGGCAACAGGGAATACAATGTACACGCCCATTCTCGATATCCGAGAGCTCGTTCGACCTACGACCTGCGCGATTAGTAGCATGTCAAGACCAGTACGTTGATCAAGGCGGAAGTTCCATCTGATACTTTCCAACTGCGGTTTTGTACTGTCAAGATACACAACGGAAAGTATGGGCTTGAAGTTTGTTGTGGTGACATGGTTTACACCAAGCCAGGGTCGCATCGAGATTGAGGTTACAGTCTACTGTTATTAGTGCATCGGTCCTGCATTGAGTATGTTGAAGCGCTACCTACATGAGCAAGAAAGATGGAGGGAAGCACAACGGCTTCTTGTAGGCATGCACGGCAGACAGTTTCCCATCGTGACGCGCCCAGTGTAGTTATTACATGATGTTAGAGTTAGTTATCATGCTTCTCGCACTCGTCGTGACTGCCATGTGCATGATTGTGCGTGACATGTGCCATAAATGGTGAGAGGTAAATACTGTAAGACTTCAGTGAACGAAAGAGCACCTGTCAAAGAAGACATAGATAGATCGAGAAGAGAGCAAAGAGAGCCCAACGTGAAGAAAGCATGCGACAGAGCGGAGCAAGTAAACCATCGTCCAGAGCGCAAACATAAAAAAAGAGCGAGAGGAAAAGTACAAAGGCCCATGCCTTACAACACCACAACACCACAACACCACATCTCCATACACACCAGCATGATTTGATCTTATTCCATTCATTTCATCTCATAAACAGGAGGCTCTTGCCTCCCCTTTCCACCACCATCATCTTAGTTCCTAACATTCCCCCTAATCTCATCATCCCCACCATGCGTGTGCACATACGTCTGATCCCTCTCCTCAGGCGCACCCACACCACCATGCGCAAAGTCACCCGCCTTGGTAGGCTGACCGTTGGCCTTGATGCTGCCACCCTCGTCGAGCGGGATCTCGCGGTTGTTGCCTGCGCCAGAGGCGGCGGAGCCGTATTTTACTTGGGCGCCGGGGAATTTGCCTTCGACGTTTGCGGTGTCAACGCCGGATTCCGTTGCTGGAGGGGGGGTTAGTAGGGGTTTGGGATGGATGGAGGGAGAGGGAGGTAGGAGGTTGGTGACAGGGGAGGAGGATGGGAGGGAGAGTAGAGGGAAGAGAGGAGACGTACTGCTCAAACCAGCATTGTGGCCGTGAACAGCGCTCTGGCTGTTGAGGTCCTGCTCAGCCTTCTTGGCGATCTCGTTGACGTCGGTGTTCTTGTATTCGGCAGACATCTTCTCAAATATGTATCGTATACGTAACTGGTTGTTTTGAAGAGTGTATATTGGTGAAAAACGTGAAATTTGGGTATTAAACAAGTCGAAAGTGTGTGTATATGTAATGGAGAAGGTAACACCAGGAAGGGGCATTATAAACCTTTTGTATCAACAGTACTAGCTTCAGACCACAGACCTCATCGATGATGATGAAAGAGTGGTGGACCCTGATGACATCACAACGACCTCATAACAGCGGGCCAAGACATGAGAATCCTTTCGCCATCTGGAAAAAGTCCTTGCCGATTAGTGAAGAGACTTGTGAGCGGGAACTTGGGAGTGGTAAGGGTTTGGTTGGAAAGTTTGCTGTGTTGGGTCGCGTGCTGGTGGGGTGAGAGGTAGGTGCAGGTTGGCATCCAGGTACCAGATCCGAGTAGGTATGACGACAACGAGATTGTGGGACAACACAGGACGCACGCGCCAACATGAGAAGGATCTCGTGGACCAGCTATCGATAGAGTCATCATGTACCCAACCAGCCAAAATATCGACTTCCACCACCTCCCCTCCGCCTCCCCCACCCACCCAGAGACATGAGAATCCTTTCGCCATCTGGAAAAGCCTTGCCGATTAGTGAAGAGACTTATGAGCGGGAACCTGGAAATGCGGTAGGAGCTTTGGTTGATGGAAAGGTTTGCCGTTGTTGGTCGCGTGCTGGTGGGGTGGTGGTGGTGGACATCCAGGTACCAGATCCTCGCAGTATGACGACAAAGATCGCGTTACAACACAGAACGCACGCGCCAACATAGAAAGAATATCTTCGTAACAGGGGTCGTGAAAGGGATATCGTAGCCCGGCAAGACAATAATGCATTTGCGCACAGCTATGCACACCTAACTACGCCGATGGATCGTCTCTCATAAAGCCATGAAGTTCGTCCCTCATGAATGAATCGGCCACTCAAGACTCCCTTCAAAACTTCATGTCGCAGAAACCGCTATGTAGAAAACAAAAAACGCCATGCTCGCAAAAGTGATATATGCGCGGAAGCGAATGAAGCCCATCATACAACCAAGGAAACGTTTTTTTGCCACATCCCCCATCCCCCCATTATTACTCCTCTTCCTACTCCTCAGCAAACGTCACCTGCCTAAGCGGTGACCTATGTCGTTGCGAATTCTTGACACCACTCGGCTGTTGTTGTTGTTGGTAGTGGGAAAGAAACCGAGCATCGCCCTTCTGCCCATTACTCTCCACCCAGCTAGCGACTGCAGTCTGTCTTGTTCTGCTGCTGTACGGTACAATGCCGGGCTTGAGAAGATTGTTCGCCTAGAAAATCTCCGAGTCGAGACTGCTGCGGTAGCTCTCTAGAGACTCTTCATCGTCTGCGCATGTTCGTTAGTAAAAAGAATCTTCAACTACGCTCAAGTAGCGAACGACTCACCCTGAATCGGCTTCCTGCGAACAACAGTGTCCGAGTGCTGCAGCGGGCTCTGAGGCTGTGGGCTCCTGCTACCCATGGGCCTGGGGCCCGTGATCTTGCGCTGCGGGCTGTTCATGCTAGCCTCGGAGCGGAGGTACTGGCTGCTCGGGCGAGGCGAGGGAGTGGGCGTCATCTTTTTTGCGTATGTTAGCATTGTCCTCAGTTCTTCTGAGGCGCGAGCTCAACTTACGCGATGGCCCCGGTCAGTCTCGAGTGAGTAACGCACCTCTGCAATAGGTGCAAGTGGTGTCAAAGCACCCTGGCTACCGAACTCATTCGGAGAACTGTACATCTGCCTTGTCTGGCCGTAGCCAGCAAGCAGCTGTGGTGGCGGGACGAGCGGGCCGTCATCCGCGATCTTGGGAGGCCGAGGGGGGCCGGCCTGCTGCTCAGAAGCAGAGTGTTGACTGTAGCCATCTGATGAGATTGGCGACAGGTTGCCAGCACCCTGTTGAGCCGACATGCCTGAAAGACGGTTACGTGCCAGCGATGGCATGCTGCCCCACTGATCGTAGTCAGGTGATCCTATGCTCGAGCGAACAGGATTGTAGATCTGCGCTTGGGTCTCCAAGTTGTTCTGGTGACGACCGGTTGGCCCAGGTCGCGGCTGGGGGTGCTGCAGGTTCAGCGAGTTGCGATGCGCCTGGTACTTGGGGTCTTCCATCTCGTATTGAATGTCCTCTGGGATAAGAGGCGATGGAGAGCGTGCAGAACGTATCGAACGCTGCTCTTCCCTGGCTAGGGATGTGTTGGACCGCAGCCTGTCATCGGCATGCTGCTCGTATGGCTCTTCGTCATCATAGTAGTCATCCTGGGAAGAAGACCTGGAGTGCATGGAGTGGGGTCGCCTCTCTCCAGACCCGCTGTTGCGTGGCAGGCTCTCTGGGTTGGTGGAGGTAGTGGTCTTTGACCATCGCGAGATCTTGGGAATACCAAAGATGGACGACGAGTTAGACTTGTGCTTGCGCTTCGGGGTAGTGTCATCGCTCTGTGAGTTTCGCGCTGCCCTTGAAGCTTGTGGAGGAGTTCCTAGCGAAGCACGCTTTTCGGGGAAAGCTTCCTGGGTCGGCGTTGTCATGCGCTCGGTATTCTCGTAGCCTGGTGTACGAGTACGCTCTTCGTACTCCTCGTCGCTCTCTTCTCGTACTGTGCTGATACGGTTTGTTGGTACAACATCGTATCCAGAGTGAAGATCTTGGATGCGGCGGGAAGACGAAGGGTTGGAGAAGTAGCCCGACTGGTCGGGGGAGGAGGCAGTGTTGGCACGGCCCTCTGGCTCGTAACCCGCATCACCGCTTGCTCGGAGTTCTTCATACGAGTTGAGACTATTCGTCCTCGCCTGCTGATCCAACGAAAGCTGGTTGACTTGCTTCAGGCCCTCAACTTCGCCAAGCAACTGAACGAGCATTTGCTCGATGTGCTTGATATCGCCGTCTCCCTTGCCAGAGCTGAGGCCCTTAAGAGCACGCCTAAAGACGTTCTTCTTTTTGGTCTCGATATCGTCATCTGAAGAGGTACGGTTGATACGAGGTGGTGTCTGGGGCTGAGG